TTAAAAATAAATTTCAAAATGACGGATGTGTAATAAGCATCGTAAAATCTTAAATATGTTACTACAGATTTAAAAAAAAAAAAAAAAACTACACGTTCCGTGGCGTAAGATAATTTATAGACTTCGTAGGTAATTTACAACGTGCCATTTTGGATGTTTCCACATCCAAATGAACTTTTACGCGTTGCTTCGTCACAAAATTAATTACACGAATATAATTAAGTTGTAACAAAATTTAACAAGTTTAATAGTGTTTAAGTATTCAGAAATTTTTCGTTTTAAAATGTTAATTAAATAAAATTTTCGAGCAGGAATATTTTAAATACGAAATGTCAAATAGAAAAGAGGAAAAAAAGGAGGAATATCTGAAATGATTTAGTTCGTATGTAACGGACAATATTGTTCATATTTGACATGCCTAACTAGTGAGACAATAAAAAACAGAAACAGACGAAAACAAAAGGTTGTATTGTATTATATGTATCCGAACCGTTGACGGTACAATACCTGTCGGGGTGGTATCTACCAGAAACGGATCCACCTCGCACGCTTCGTTGCTTTCTCGTTTCGACCTTTTGTTTCGATTTAAATCATCTCTTTAAATGACGGAACGTCGTTGGTTAAACGAATAATCAACTCGACACTCGCCAAGTTTTTTCTCTCTCCATCTACCACGTCGGCAAACGTTAATTAATTAGGAGACGAGAATTGATTCTAAAAAAATGAAAGAAGTTTTAGGATTTTCTCCTCGATTTGCAGGAAGAGATGGTGGAAAATGTTTCGAGTACCATCATCGACGCGACCTCAGATTATCCTTTTCGATAAGTGCCCATTTCCCGGATAGATACGTGTTTATCGCGCGTAGGAAATTCAAAAACGTCAACAAGAAAATGACGTAAAAGTATGAATTTCCACGTTTGTATACGCAAAGAAATGTCATAATTAACGTATTATTTTAAACGGAAGTGAACAAAACGGGAAGTGTTAAATATGCAAAACAGGAGATTTAAACGAGGTTAGTAACCGTCATTTAAACCCCCCTTGGGGAAGATATCCGGTAATATCTTGAGAAAACTCGATTAAGCAAAACCAATTTTTAGATAATAGTCAAGTCGAGCGAAGAGAGGCTCGTTTAAAACAAAGATGCTACTATAAAAAAAAAAATACAAAACCGAAGATCCCGACGGGACGCCCAGATTGGACATTTAAAGTAGAGAGGCACACCCTCGACGTCGTACGACGGTTACACTAAAGTAATTAACTTAATTACCGGTTCAAAATACACGGGAGAAGTTACGTGAGTGGTAAGATTTTTACCAGTACTTTCTTCTAAATTACACGTAGAACGGTTGTGTCGAAGTGTTTACAAAAAAATCTTTCAACCGCTAAGGTGGACTTGTACCTCATCGACATCTCGAGTAGACATTTATCAGTTGAGGTGAAGAGTTTCTTTTTTTTTTATTATTTTAAATGCAGAAATTAACCCGATAATCGATTTTATCTCTCTCTCTCTCTCTCTCTCTCTCTCACTCTAGCTATCTTTTTTTCTTTTTTTGAAAATTTATATTAAAAGCACGTGTTTTGTCTCGTGTTTTCGGAAGACACAAAATTCTCCTCTATGACGTTGAGTTATTCGATACGAAATACTATCGTCAATTGACCTATATAACGTATAATGCGTGTTTATTTGGGCGTAGTTGGATTCGATAGCGCTTCCTGCCCCACCAACGATCCAGATGTAGAGTTTTTAGAACGTCCAAGGATAATTCTTATTAACAGGAACTGTCAATCGGGAAACGAACGGTTCCGTCTAGACGCTTCCTGGTTTTGTATTAACGTTGGTTTACACTCATAAAACACGGATTGGACGGCGGTACGAAGCGACACCGAGTGGTACCACTCACGCTACACCTTCCATTTTAGAAAATTTCCCACGGAAAGCAAGAACGTAAGACGGTAATTCATTAGGAATTCTTTTCATTAAATTCTTATCTGTGTTCTTTTATGAAGTGACACAATGAAGCGCTTAACAAAGCCTTTCAATAAAAAGACACTAGAAAACTAATGTCGAAATCTGGCGCGAACGATAAAGTCTCGAAAGAAGATAATGATAAAAAGCGATAAGAAAAACAAACACTTATACTTGATTTCTGGGATATGCGATTGTCTAACGTTTATTCTTTAGTAAACGAAACAATTGTACGAGTTTGGAGGTCGAGTGTTTTCTACAATTACTTATTGATAAATCTGAACCACACCCGCCATCGCTTACGCTCCCAACACAAAGATAAAGAAGCAAAGTCTAGCATCCAATTAATCGATTGTAGAAAAATTCTAGAAGTGTCTAGTAATTGACCTATTTATAAATCGGAATTATAAATTTAGTTTTTCTGGAAGGAACTCTAGACAGATGCCGCGCGAGCGAAGCGATAATGGATGCGTGGCCTCGAGCCATCGGACAAGTGGGCCTCAGTCGCGTAACCCAGAACCGCGGTTCTATTTGGTTATCGAACATCGAAAAAAACGTTACGGAAGATTGTTCCAGGTTTTATTAATGGTAATTTGTGCCCGTGACGTAATTATATGTATTCGAGTTTTCCTGGATTAGGAAGACCCTCGAAGCTCGAAATCGAAATTTTATGGCTCTAGAAACGGAACCATTAACTTTTGCCAGTCGTAAAAGGTAGCCCGTCCGCGTGTCGGGACGTAACACTTTTAAAACAGAAACAAAACAGAAAAAAAAGGATACTAGAAGGGATGGTTGGATCGGCAGGTGGTCCGAGGGCAGTGGCCCCGAGTGCAAACCGGCCGAACGATGCACCAGCTGTTTCGATGGAGATGCGTAACGCGTTACGCATTAATTAGAACGCTATACCATCGAAAACACGATTTAACAACTGTTTTAACAATAAGAAGAAATAGAACCCCTCGTCTATGTGACGTATAGGTTACGCAGTTTATTAAATTGTTTCTATTTTATTGTGAACAAATAATCGAGTCATAAATTTAATCAAAATTTTATTTAATTTTTTTCTTTTTCTTTTTATATTTTAAAATACAAATAAATACATGTCGTACTATAAAATAAAGGCACGAAATATATGAAAACAATGATTTAATTTATTAAAAAAATAAACCAAGATGAAGCAGAAATAACTCGAATTATAACCTCTGCATCAAAATAAAAACTAAAATGTGGAGCAGATGGTTTAATTTGTCAGCTGTTCCTTGGCTTTTCATACTTTTATTTTTAGTTTTTCCATTCAAAAAACAAACAAAAAAAGGCTGTCTAAGACAAGGTTTAATAAATGTAAAAACGTGAATCGTCACCATCTGCTCCCTTCTTGTAAAATTGCGTCACGTTGACGATATTCGTGACGCGCGACATCGAAACCCCCCATCTGTCCGAAAACCATTTTAAAATTACAAATTCAAATTTATCCATTACGTAACAAAATTATTTTTTGAATATTAATTACTCGCTCGTGCGCCACATTTGATCTATCCAAAAAATTTTGATTAGGGGGACTTTTCAGAGCAGGAAACACTAACCAATATATTTAATACGTCCGAATTATTTGGGTTGAGGACCTTTTCGAGTCGAGCGAGTGGGAAATTCGTGGCCCGAGTCTCTAACAATACACTCGATAGAATGAGGAACACGAAACCGGACCCACATGCGAATGGAAGGTTCGAGTGCAAAATTAGATGGAAGAATTGGCGACAAAACAATGCTACGATTGTTTTTTTGGGACGTCGGAGAGGCATCTGGACTTACTCGGGGTCGAAATCGAGCGATAATGACAATAAAACGAGACGCTTTGGACCAACGTAACAAAAGTGGAGCGTCCGAAAAGCAAACTCGATCGACTCGACACTTAACCTATTTTTAGACTCGTGACATTCCCCGCGGTAAATGTGGGAAAAATCAATATCACTCGAGCACTTCCGTTACTTAGATACCGAGCTCGTATCGCCACGGTATCTAAAAATAATTGCGTGGGTGAAGGCGCTCTTACCGTTTACTCCTACCCCATATTATTATTATACTAATTAGAACGAAATATTTATAGAAAGGTATCTAAAACGTCTTATTAAAAATTGTTTTAAACTCGAAATTTCTTTTATGACGTAAACGTTTTAAGGCCTCTGTTTGTCGCAGGGATGAGTAATTCTGGTAAACGCCTTTGGAACTAAGTTAAGCCCCGTATCGATAGTTATAAAAGGAAAAAAGTGTCTACGCCTATCGACCTACGTCCGAGCTATTCCGGGATGGCCCTATACCCAATGCCCCATTGAGGGTTTCGTATACAGATAATTCGACTTATCCAGCTCGTGAGTCACGTGATGGCAAAGATAAATCTTTGCGTCACTCCCGGGTGACGATAAAAGAAGTTATTTGGAGATAATAAATAAATAAAAAAAAGTACATTAACTTTAACAAATAGCAGATTTTTCAAAATTACACGCGCTATTTTTAGAGAATTTTGTTTATACAATTGGTCGACTCGACGCGTATGGAAATTTTGGTTAAATTAAAGAAGAGTAAACGGTTGTACGCAACGCGTGGTACCTAAACCTAGGCCTGTAGGCGCCTAATTTCGATTTTTAAAAATAATATTTTAATGAAGGATATTCGTGGAATCGAAACTCGTTTAAGAAAGACATCGTTAAGTATATTGTATCATTAAGTATACGTCTAATTATAAGTCCACTCGAGTTCGTGTTCATCAAACACTAATTAGAATATGCTAATTTCTCTTCGTTCGACCCATTCGAAGCGGTAAGTTCGACCGTCTACGTACTAGTTTTGCACTTTTATCGTACGTACGGATCCTCTATTCGTGCTCGCTAGAAGTACAGTACGTGTATATACATATATAATATTGCATGGAAAGATTTTCTTGGTTTATTCCTCCTGTTTTCACGCGGGTATGGCTAACAATTAGTAACGTAAACAATGACGAAACCGTAAATAAACGAATAGTGTCACGCTATACGTGACCGCCGCGTATAAATAAACAATCAACTAGTCGGAGGGAGAGGGCGAAGACGGCTGGGATAATTACCGATTGGATTCTACCCGTACGTAACCTCCGGGATCTACCTACCTGTCGCTCCCACCTGCGACACGCGCCGCGCGCCATACCCCACGATAGGCCACGTGGCCGGCAGGTGTCTGATGACGACCCTCTGGGTTAGCGGGACGATCGCGCGACGTCCACCTACGGTATATCCTGTTTCCTCATCGACACATGTGTAATACAGGAAACGTCGTTCGAAAAAACTACAGGATATGTTAGTGTTTCCCTCACTTATCCGCTTTACAGCACCGACGTTCGGGTGTAGAAAGTCACGCGGAGTCGCCACGTTCTCGGTAATGACTAATTTGTAAACACTGGAACCTAAAAAGGAAAGCGGATATTCTAATTTATGGCATTTCCTCACAAAAATTAACTTAATTTTTGGGAATTTTTAGCTAATTAAACTCGCTGACGGCATATTTGTTGCGTCACTTTCGCAAATTTAAATCGTCGCCACTCTTCTAAACACCATCGCTATCCCAATTGTTTAGAAATTAATGCTTTCTCTGGGACAGAGCGATACATTAAGCGAGTCGCGCGAGAGGAGATTTTTCAAAGTTTCGTAGGATTGGAGGGGTGTTAGTGGTTGGCACGCTTCTCGCGCGGCTCAAACGCGTGGTGGACGCGTCGTCTAGAAAACGACGAAGGTGTTGGTCCATCGAAAGTTTCGACTCCGCCTTCGACGCTTTAAAAATGAGCTAACTCTCCGCGTTACGCACAGATCGAATATTTTGCCGTTCACTAACGGCTCGTTCCGAAGACTAACCCACGATTTTCCATACAGAAAAGGGAGAATTATTATTGCCGCCATCGCTTCGCGCCATTATCTGGAGTGGCGTCGTCGGAAGCGACGAATCATTAATTAAGAAGCGATCGTTGGGTCGGCGTGACGCGCCAAGTTTTTTTAGGCGCGCGGAGCCGACGCGAAGCGGCGCCGCGCGAGGGACACCAACCGGGTTAAAGACCCCTACGCCTTGTTTACGCCAGTGCCGAGTTCGACGACGTCACCGGACGGCCGTCCAATGGGGAGTCGAGGAGTCGTCACGTGCTAGTAACGTACGAGCTCGGACGTAGGAGAGTGGGAGTACGTCAGCGTCGAACACACCTGCGAGCGTTGTCACTATATGCACACCGGCGATCCGGGGAGCGAAGAAGAAGACGCGGGGAGCTCGGACCCAGGGATGAGCGCGGGCCGAGTGTGCGGTCCGGTGCAGCCGGAGGAGGGAGGAGATAAGACGACGTCGGTGTCGACCGTCTGTCGGGCTCTGTTCGGTCCGACCGATCATGACAAAAATCGGCAATTCGTCAGAAGGGAATTGGCCCTTCAACGACAGAAGGACAGGGAAACTTGGAACTTTGACTTCGACGAGGGAGTGCCGCTGACTGGAAGGTACGATTGGACACCCGTGGCGCGACCCTACGCGTCCAGGTCCTCGACCGAAGACAGAAAAACTCCGCATCGAAGAGCCAAATCGGTGGCCGGTTGCAGCGCGGGGGGCGTGACCCAAACACGTATACCAGGTAAGTGTTTTCTTGTGCTTAGAACATACGTCGTAACGGTTATTTGTCGGTCCGAAACACTTTTAAACTCTAACGCGCGTCCCATTGGACCCCGGCCAATTTTTGAATTTCCTTCGTCCGGTTTCTCCAAACCGGACGATCCCTCGTGACGGCGTCACGAGGGATCGATCTACTTCGTCACTCGACTGACCTACATTTCGGAGGCCAAGATGAGAAAACTATTGGAGGACGTCTCCGATCGTCGTTCGTTCCTCGCTTCCGACTCGCGCGTCTCCAAACGCTAGAAAATCGCTTTAAGCACCCGACCAATTACGAAGCGGCTCGTTTATCGACTCGTAACCCGATTCGCGAGTTTAAATTTGTTACCTTCTTCAAATTTTTAAACGGAATGGGGACGGTCTACGATCTCGATTTCGTTCGCCTTCGGATCCAAGCTAATTATCTCACCGAATAACTAAATTTCGGGGTGTAAGAAGGGCCTAAAATGGCGTCACGCTTCGCTCCACCGGCGAACCTCGAGTATGATTTTATCGCTTTTTATAATCGAGAAAATTTCGGGAGAATCTCGAAGATCCGTGCGTTGCACGCGTGGATGGTTAGGCTCGTAAACGAAAGCGGCGCCTCGACGCCGGCGCGAACGGACACGTGTGACGGATGGATGTTTAAAAGCAGCCTCGGATGAGGAGTGTATAGTAACAGAAATCGTCACCGACGCTACGGGGCGAAGAAGGCGGCCGGGATGGGGAGAGAGGGCGCGATCTACCTCCATTTTGAAAAAATACACCAGCGCGTTAATGAAGGAGCGCGCTGGGCCATTCGAAGGATCACTTCCCGTTTGATCAAAACGGAAGTTATCGTCCTACGTGCTTACGTCATACGACCTTATTGCATGGCCAGAGAATTCGGAAGAGGGTGCGTTCGGAGGGTGGAAGAGGGAGAAAGAACAGAGCGAGATTATTCGGCGGTCATCCGATCTCCCACTCCGTATTGTGTAATTAGAAACCGTTTTGTTTACGTTCGCGCGTTTCCGAGTGGAAGATCCGATGACTCTCGATTTCCTGTCCCTCCTCCAATCGCCACCCGACCGTCGAAATGGATGAAAATTAATTCAAAGTGGTTCGCAATCCCCCGACTTCCTGTATTTTGCTCGAATATGAGACGAGAGACAAGACCGAACGCGTTCGAAACTTTCGCCGTTGCATCCGACCGGTCCGACCGGTACCCTCTACGTCACGCTTAACGTCACAATTACTTATTTCTCGGAACGACCCACAGATGGCATTGTTCAAAAAGCGCCAACGGAACGATGCGAAAGTTTTTTACACGCTTCGAAACGCTTCTTCACGCGTGACTTTCTCGTCCAATCGGAAACCAGTGCAAAAGGAATTTCAAATTATCCGTTTCGCCATTGGCCAAATCGTTTCGTCACCGGAGACGCCATTTTGAGATCGGAAAGGGGCCGATACCCCGAAAAAGATTTTTCTCGGATCGGCGTGACGACCGACAATAAACTACTTTAGATATTACTTTGTTTCATTTGGGGAATCGTAATAAAAAATTATCGCTAAAGAAACGAGAAAAAAAAGAGGGTGGACGATGACGAATGTGCCAAGGATCCCAAAAACACTTTTGTAATTATTGGTTCGAAGAAAGGCGAATTTTATTCTTTTCGGATAATTACTCGATACCGAAGCATCTTTAAGGCCATTTAAATCTTTAAACCTGTTACGGTGACAGATGTTTAATGGTCAACGCTACAAATACTTTTTTCTGGTTTTTTGTCAACGTTTGCCATTCGCTTCGAGAAAATATCTTAGTCAATTGCACACAGTTTTTTCTTCTTCACTCTACGAAAATTCTCTTCCAACACAAAGTCTTGCGTTACAGAAGTCGCCGAAAACACTCGCAAATTTACAACCGAAAGTGACAGAACGATTCCCAAGTCCAAAAACCTCTTTCCAGTACCAATTTTATATATTTTTTTGGAGTTCTTTTTTCAGTTCTAAACTACGTAATATCCATTTTAAATGTTAGAAAGTCATTTTTCCAATTGGATTTCGAGTTTGAGTCCGCAGTAAAACGTAGAGGAGAATAGAAAAAAAATTGAAGTTATATCTCCTAGTTTATCTGTTATTGCGTCACGGTTTTTTAGCATTACGATAAATGGAAAGCAACACCCACTTAAGAGTTTTTCAGCCTTCCCAGTTAACTCGGAGAGAGAAAGAGAGCGAGAGAGAGAGAGAGAGAGAAAAGGTCGTTGACACGACTCGAAAACCTCGTTACGACGAGCCACGAACACGTTCTCTCTCCTCTGAACTTATCAAATCTGTTTACGTCGCAGCGAATTTTGTCACTGGATATTTTTATCTGTTACGTGTTTACGGAATCGACGAAAGGAAACGGGACTTTGTATTTTATTAGAAATCCGGGATCTGGTAATGCCGCGCGCGCGAGAGGGCATATATTTTGTTTGCAAACATTTTCCGCTTTGTACGCGCGTTACGGATGTTAGCGTAACGCGTAGAAGCCACGAAAGAAACGGTGTGCGAAGCTTTATTCTACTTGTTTATTATTGTATTCGTGTCGTTTTATCGCATCGGTTCATTTATAGTTTGCGAACGAAAGGTTGATAACACCTCGCTATCTTCTGCACGCGTACGTTTGAAAACTAACACGCTACACTGACCTTGAAATGACTCCGTGACCTTCGACGACGTAATCTGCACCGATTCGTCAACCCTGGAAATTGGGCGGAGTCTATTTGGGTAGTCGTATTTTCAAACTTTAGTGTAACACAAATTACGCTTGCGCAGAAGGCGGAACGGAGGAACGATAAGAAAAAAAAAATACAAAGAAAAAAAATTCAAAAAAGTTGTCGTTGTCAAGTTCCAAAAGTTCTTCTCAAAACAACACGCGAGATTTTTTTTATCTTTCGTCTTCTTAATTTACGCCTTTTAATTGCATTTGCAGTATCGTGTGTTGATATTTGTTTTTAAAAACGTGTTCGACGGTTTAAATCGATCTGAATTAAAGAAAACGCGTGGTAAACCAGTTGTTTATGTTGCCGTTTGAAGCTGGGGGTGGTTTGAGGAGTCGACTTTTTCGTCCCCGGCCAAGTCACGTGTCCAGTTTTTGGATAACTAACGATTGAGTTTCGAGTCACGCGACGTCGATCGCGCGATTAAAAGTTGCTCCTAAAGGGTAAGCAACTTTAATTACTCTTTATAGAATAAATTTTTAGGCGTAATAAATTTTGTAAACACACAGATATCGCCAATTTTTTGGCTTTCTAGAAGATAAATCGAGTTGTAAAAATTTTATGACCACAGTTTTTCCACGGCTAATTTCCATCACGAAGCAATCAGGATGTCCTTTAAACATTAACCCATTCAATTTTTTTTTTATTGTTCGTCCTCTGGCCGAATCCGGACCAAGTGTGGGAATGTTCGGCCACCGAGGGGAAGAGAAAACAAACAAAAAGAGCGAGTTGTTCTGCGTGAGATCGACCAGTAATGAGTCATCGCCGGTTTTGTCTCGGGAGCCAACTTCTATCAATCTCTCTCTCCCTCCGATGCGATCGATTTAATTAAGGTGGTGGCCATTGCCGTAGAACTACTTTCGCTTATAACGCCTCGAGCGCGCAATATCGAAATTAAAAATTCCCAAGGAAATTTTCCAGCGGAAACTCATTGGCTAATTATCTGGAGCGCGCGCTCCACCCACTTCTTTGGTCAATTTTCGATACGAAGAATCGCTTCCGTTCCGTCTTTGGCAGATTCCATGTCGAATTCGGCAAAACAGGGACGACCGCGAAAGATGCGAAAATTTAAATCCCCTATTCGCGTTTCCACGAAGTAAATTGTTTTCTGGCCGCCGGTGACGACTATTTATCAAAGTTGATTACTACTCTTCGATATGTCTCCGAGTAAAATAAAAAAAAAACACAAAAAAAATTATCCAACGTACGTTTAGTAGTCATCAGCGGATGGGAGAAAGGGTTTTAGAGAACAACGGATAACTGGCTTGATTACGTATTCGTGACTACGCTGCCCCTCCGCAACGCGTGGACGTTCACCTCGCAACGTGGCTTTTTTTCTCTCTTCTCGCCCCCTTTTCCTTTCCCCTTTACTACTCTTAGTAACCTTGGCCCCTTAGCCCAGAAACCGGTTCTTCCACTTTCCATCTGCCCGGATCGTTCGTTGGCCCCTTCTCCGATTGGCTCACCTCGCGCTCTTCGTCGTACCTTAAAGATAGTGTCATTGCCACTCTCGCGGCTCTCCGGCGTAGACGCGCTTCTCCGTCGCCACCGAAAATTGTTCCCGTAACGCGTTACCAAGTAAACATATTCCACCAGTTTGTCACTCGCCAGAGCGTACCAAATCGATTGTTACGTAATCGGTTCAAATTATTTTCGAGCCAATTAATCTTAGTTTGTGCCACAATGGTCTTATTTAAAATTGGAAAAAAATGAGAGTATCGCGCCATGAACTTCACAAAAATGCATTAAAAAGTTGGTCAGTTTTAAGAACATTTTCCCATTTGTTTCCACGAAAACATGAGGATTTGCGTGGAAATAATCCACGCGAATCCTCCAGATTCTCTCGAAATTTTCGTGTTTTAAATGGCACGATAAAATCACGCGTGGCTCCTCCGTCGCGACGAAGAATTTAGATGTTATTCATAACGTCGATTGATTCGTAACACTCGGATTTTTTTAAAATACGCGCTAAAATCGGATCTTATTTCTTTACGGTTATTTTCATCAATTGGAAGATTATGATCTAAATTTAAAGCATGAACAAATAAAATTTTAAAGACGATAGGTAAATGGAAATTTATTATTATTATATGTTACGTTAATGTATACATTGGTGGAAAGGAAAGCGGGCGCAATTCGTTTCGACGTCTCGCATATTTGTAACACATGATACGTTGTTTACAACGTTGTTCCGTACGTTAATATTTAACAGCCGGATTACGTTGCACCGATATTATTTTTCTCTCGGCGTTATCTGACAAAATGAGTCACGAGACGAGAATTAGCCATCTTGTTTCTTTTTTTTTTTTTATTAAAAAGTATCATGGTAATAAACAAACGCATCCGAAAACCAGATTATTAATGCGAGTGGACAACGAAGACCCTTTACAGAAACTTAAAATATGCATGCTGGGGAAAAATTAAAGCCAGATGTTCCTGTTTTCGGAAAAGAACTGGTTATTTTTAAAAACACGTGCCGGGTCGAGTTTATTCCAAGTAACACCTTTGTTTGACAACACGCGCGCGCAACTCCGCACGAGATGTAAGTCAAGGTGGCTTTAACCACGCGACGTTACGCGTAACTCGGGATATTTCGGTTAGGCGGAAAGGTCGATACCGCGTATAAAACGTTCGATGAAAGGCGGGATTGGGCGTACGACACGCCGATACGAACCGGGAGTAACGGCCTCTTCGACCATCCTCGTTACCTTGCTTCGTAACGCCAACGACCACGGAGGATCCTCCAGTAATCGAATCGGTACGATACCCGCGCGATAAATTTGGAGTAAAGATGGGAGCGAGGGGTCGACCGTTTACGTAGGCTTAACCCGTTCCGTATAAAAACGTAGGCGTCGATGGAGGGTAGCGCTTTTCCACCGGTTTTAATCGCCAGGCCCGCGTACGAAATGGTCCCGGTACACCTGAGTGAAAAATCGTGACTTTGTTTAGGCACGCTCGAGATGGGTCAGTGAACTTGCCTAGGTTGATACACTCTCGACTCATCGACGACTGGTAAGACGAGTTACTTGTTTGTGAGTTCTGAATTCTTTTAAATGACTTACATCTTTTCTCCATACCTATAATTGGTTGGGTGTTTACGCGTTCTCGGAACCGCGTTTACTACGCTCCCGTTGATTTTTATTTTTCACATTTAAAGAAAAAGAAACCCCTTTTCGTAAAACGGCGCGTATTTTTACATTTATTAAATTACGCGAGTCGAGCGTAAAACTCCTCTTCCGTTTATTTAAGTTTATTCGATACCGAAAGGTGGCGCCTGCGGTAAAGTAAACGGAAGTAACAAAGTCCAATATTTGATCCCTCGTGAAATTTTTATAACATTTTATTTACGCGCTGCAAATAATTAAGTAAATAAAGTATATTTTTTTTTTACCGCATTTGTATTAAAAACCACGCTAATTAATTAACACGACTTCTTTTTCTTCCTTACAGAATACATGAAAAAAAGGAAACAGACGGGGGCAAGAAACAAAGCGGAATCTTCGAGGTCGGTTAGCCCAAAGGCGGAATAACCAAAAAATATCGAAGGCAAGTTCAGTCCCCGTTCTTTGTCATGCTAATTGTTTTTTAGATCGTTCTAAAAAATCATTTTGCCTTTTCTTCAGGACGTCGGGTGACGAAAGGGGAGGAGGAGGGAGGCGAGAGCGCGAGATGTCGGGCATCAGTATTTTTCATACATCCATTTTTAAGATCTCATTAAGTTTTATTTGTTCGAAATTCTCAATTATTTATATAATAGTCAAGTAATAGCTGAATATTGTATATATTGTATAATTTAACATAAGTCGTTTCACTAATTTTTTTTTGTGTTGGGATTTTGCACAGCTTAAAATAATTTATTTATTAAGCTTCTTCGTCGCTGCGGCCGACGTCACGACAAAAAAAAAAGAAAAAAAATTTCCAAGCTGCAGCTGTTATACAATTGTCACTTAAAATTTTATATATAAAATATATTTATGTATATACACCAGTATGCATATATATAATGTATGCGCTTCTACCTTATACATATATATATTTATTATGCATATATGTAATGTATACACTTATTAAAAAGTGAAATTTTATTTTAAAATAAACGTGTTTCGTCGGAACGGTCGTCTCGGATTTATATATAAATATATTATTATTATTATTATATTATATTAATTAATATGAGAAAAAACGTTAGGTAAACGTTCCTACGTTTTTTTTTTTACATTTTATCACAATTTATTTTCATTTAATGTAATTATTTTTACATCACCTAATCGAGTACAATTTTTCACACGCTTTATTATTAAAAAAATATTGTTTTTTTTATGTGTAAACTATTTTGGCTTAATAAAAAGGTGATATATTGTTTGTTCCGATCGAATAAATTGAAAAAATAAAAATGTCGGATTTTCTTGTATAAAAAAAAAAAACAAATTGTACAGTAATAAGCTTTAATTTAAAATATCAAAAATATTTTATATTATATATCAAAATAATCGAAACTGACAGAATCACTCTTTTATAATCTTGAAAACGAGAGAAAATAAACTGGGAATTATAAATCTGTTAAGAATTTTTCTTGTATTTTGAACGTCACACTGGTCGTCACCGTAACATCGATTATACACTTTCATCACATTTGATACACAGTATATTTAAATCACTACACCGAGTTAAAATACCTAACGAATGTGCATCGTATCCATACAGTGAAGAAAACACAGGTTCCAAGATAGAAGCGAGGGCGAAGTGAAGGCACTCGAACTCGACGTCACCCTCCTTTCGCTAAATTCCGACGCGACATCGTTAGTTCCCTACTACCACATTTAAATTAAATCTATCACAAGAATCTTCCTTCGAATTATAGATTATATATAGGCTATATATATATACATATTGCACGTTCCGAAATGGCAGTGACGTAATAACTGTGTCGATTGCGATACAATTATATTGCGTTACGAAGCGCGAGACTCCGAATTTGCAAACGTTTCAGCAACAGAAAACAAAACAAAAAAAAAATTCTTCGTTGCCACGACAGATTCTTTATACAAAAAAAATTACAATTCAATTCGTAACAAAAACAATAATATTGAGATCAACAATTCAGAATAAATCAATTTTTCGTTGCTAAATTCGAAATTTCTGTTGTGAAAATACTGACAATTTTTTTTTTTTGGTCGTTCCTCACATTACTATTAAATACAAATTATAAATCTCGATATTTTGAAACAAAAAATCAATTATTTTATGCATAGTTTTAATTTAATTAGGCAACATTTTCAAAAATTTGTACCTGAGGTTTCACAGTTCAACATTTTCTTTAAAAATAAATACAGTACACACTATACTCGGAGTACATTAAAAAAACAAGGAAATTATTTTGATTTTCTTTAACGATCGTTTAAACAACAAAATATCTTATTCGTAACCGTTTTCCTCCGGCAAAAAATTTAAACATTTCGGTAATTTTCCGGCGAATTTTTAAAAATTCAAATTAAAATTTCCTCCCCAAATTCTAGAACTTCTTTGTAAATGTTTGATTTTTCTCGAATGATCTTTTTTTAATCAAACATTATCGTAAACGGAGGACTATTAACTTCGTTTCCCATTCATTCAATCGTTTCCACTCGAAAACACTTGGAGATTTTTCTCACATTCTTCGAGAGACGACAACCTCCAATCGATTCGAAAATGTTTTCGTACACTATTCTTCAAATGCACAAATAAAATTTCTTATATTTAAATACAACGTAAAAAACGAAAAACATCGTTAATTATTTTCTACAAAATCAACAAAACCTCTCCTCTTCCGTCCAAATAATAATTAATATTTTTTTTTATACAAAGAAGAGGGGAAAACAAACTGATATTTGAACGACCTATCCGTTCCTATTTACATATACTGCATTTACATTTGGAAAGGGGGAAACCTGCCCCTTCTTTCTTTACATCCATAAGAGTTTGCGCGTCACAACCTAAATCGCAATTCTTCTACGTTTATGATATGTGATGGTGGTGGTGCGACTATCGCGCGTACGAAGGGGACGAGGGAAGGGCAGAAATCTACGGCTATGCTAAGTACTATGAGGAGGAGGAGGAGGACGAGGACGAGGACGAGGACGAGGACGGACCGGCCTTCGAATCTCGACGTCAGGAGACGCGTATGACGTCGACGCTGCGACGAAAGAGTCCGCGAGAGGGCGAGAGCGAGGCGGCCCGGTCAGAGTCGGAAGAATCGTTCTTGCGATTGCATCCCCCGCAGTGCAACACGTCGGGGCAGGACTCGTATCCGTAGGCGGCACGCTCGACCGCGTGCTCCAGACTGCCGCAGCTGTATCTGTTCTGGGGTCCTCGGCCCTTCTCGGTCGTCGCTTCTGTCCGGTTCCGGCGCAAACGAGGAAATTCGGCGCGGGACCTCGAAGAGGAGTCGTCCAGGCTCTTGCGCAGCCAACCGAGAATTCCCGGACAGGAATGGGCGCGGTACAGTCCGTCCGACTTACCGCTCTCCTTGCCAGTCCGTCTGTCGATCACCTCCGACGAATCTAACTTACAGTATTTACTCGGGCTCTCGTCTTCCGCCTCGAGAGCGCCCTCACTGGTCGACCCTCCTTGCGTTTCTTCCTTCCTTTCGCCGACCGCGCACTTCCTTTCGGTCGACTCTTCGACAGAAACGTCGCGCGATGATCCTCCGCATCCGTAACGCTCTTTAGACGAATCGTCCAAAGTCGAATATTCCTTATTCTCTGCTACATTTTAAAGAAAAAATAAATAGAATAAATGTAAGTAAAAAATAAATAACGCAAGAAAAAAGTTACATTTAAAGCTACGTTTCCTTACGATTCAAACTAATGACAAAATCTTCGAAAAATTTTATTTTAAGGTAAATTCTAAGTACATTAATTTAACACGTTCCTCCGAAACTGCTATCGATTTCTATAAATTTCACCGAGAATTTTCGCGGAACACTCATAAAATTGGTAATGAAACACACGGAATGTTAAACCGAAATTGGTGATTCATGGACAAAACCCATGTTACAAAATATACAAGTATTGAATATAGAACATGTACTGTACAGTACATTCTTTAACATTAGTTTGGAACGAGAAACGGATTTTCAGACAAATCTTTCTTACCGAACGTAAGGATGAGGACTTCATCTACGAATGATGAAAAAATTTAATCTTAATTTCACTATGCCATAAGCAGAAAAGGAGTAATGGAATCGTGAGAAAATACCGTACCCGATATTGGAAATCCAGCGAAAATCTAATATATCCTTCGTTATTTCAAACAATGAGGAAACAACAATTTGTAATTCTTTTAAGCATCTCTCGCCTCTGCAACTTCTAATAAAAACTTTCAGTATTTTACTTCGTAGGGGACTCAGAACAGAAAGTGAGCGTTCTACTTCTACATTCTACTTTCGCTGCTCGATATGTAATCGCCTACCAATTATATTATTTTGATCTGTCTCTTATAGTTATTATTATAATTAGAACGACAACGAATTTAACGAAGAAAAGTACTATCGTAGTTTAGATTATTTTCTTGTACATACTGGATGTTTTTATAGTTGTTTCTTGTTTCACTACTTTAGTTTGAATTTGTGCATTTTTCGAAATGAACGTTACTGTGTGTTAAAATTGAATAGGGAGTTTTATTAAGTTGAGTAATAACGTTTATAACATATTTTCTCTTCACAGCGATTTGAAAACGGCATCCCTCTGCTCGAAAACATTTCCAAAATGAATATTAGCCAATTATTAAAGCGCAACTTGTACGTAACCACATTATTTCTAAAAGTCATCGTTATATTCTACTTTAAATAATAATTTGTAAGGATAAATGGACGGAGCACAAAAACTGTCCGTCCTTATTTACAACCAAAATCAAGAGTTAAAAGTTAACCAATAAGTGTTTACGTACTAAAAATAAAGTGAATGGTAATTAATTGACTTCTAACTCTTGATCCCTGGTTACGAATATGACCGTTAGATGAGAGATTTCATTACCTATTCGATTCGACTAGATACTGACGCGTCATTACTCCATTAGAAATGCGTTTCTCCAAAACTTTCTTTTTAAGTCTGGATCTAATGAAAAAATACGATGAAGGTAACATTCAATTACGCTTTTCTTAAACGAAAATAAGGCGATAGTGCTTTATATAGAAGCTTATATTTCATTTCATTATCTACAATATATACATGATTAACATTTATGTAATTAATGTATCCAGGTATATAATCAAAATGTTTTATAAAAATATATGTAATATAATTTTCGTTAGTAAGATGTACGAAGGTAAATGACATAAAAAGGTTACTATTCTCCTACGTAGTGATAGATAAAATTAAATAGTTTGTCGTCTTATCTGCAATATTAAAAATAACCGACTGATTGTAAAAACATGGTAAAAATATTACCATGTGGACAATTTCTTCCTAAATTATCAGGATACGGTTCTACGCGTAACTAAAATACAGTATAACATATTCTGATAACTTAGAAATGTATCTCGATCGACTAACACCAAACAAACAACGTATTGGTAAAAGTGAAAAATACGAAACAATCTGCACGGGTGAAATGATTGACGCGACTTTTTGTTTCGTTTCGGACAAAAATCCCTTGCCGAAGCGAATATTCTCTTACATAATTGCTACGGCTTTCTTTTTTAAATTTCGAGACATCTTTTGCTTGATAGTAGATCAATCGCCTCTTCCATCTCATTAATGTCGTATATATTCGCTTCTAATCAGGCAATTCATCTTTCTCGGATAGAGAAATTACTCTTTTCCGCAACTCAAACTCTTGAGTATTAGTAACAAAAATATGTAATCTAATTAATAAATTGTAAAACGCCACATAAACTTAAATTCTTTTATTTTTTAAATAATGATCATAATTTGCTTAATTAATAAGCGAAATAAACACGCACTACAGAATTCAGCTGTACTAAATACGCTACCTGAATTGGATTCATTAATTACATAAATGTTAATTATGTATATATTGAAGATAATTATAAATCCCTTCACCTTCACCAAGTTCTCTCCCAAGCAATGTTTAGACTATGGTGCAAATGGTCCTCATTAGTGGCCGAAAACGTAAATACAGAATTTCATTGAGATTTTAGATAAAACGTGCAAAATCTACGAGCTGTGTCATGGTACTGAGGTTCTCTCTCTGTCACTCGCACACTTTTCTCAGAGCTTCGGTGACCTGGAGGTTCCCGAAAACCGAAAGTGAAAACTTCAAAGATCGAAAAGGTTATTTGACAACTGGAGAATCATTCGTGAGATTTTATCCAGATTAGGAACTCTGTAACGATTTCGTTCATTGGATTAGGTCTTCACCGAATGAGATGACATAAAATGAATCACTCCTGCATCTTTACCTTTAAACAAAACACATTTTTGAAGATAACCCCATTATAATTTCTTGAAAATTATCTTATTACCCAAAGTCAAAATGATGTGAAAAAGACGGAATTGGAGGAGGAAGAAGTGGAATGATACAATAAGAATGAGTCCGGGGCGGTAAATCTATGTACTTAAGAACAGTTTTTGAAATTCTGCCAGAAAGAACAAAAAGTCTGTAGCTTCACTAAATTTTTTTAAAAAAAGTTTTGACATATGCTTTCTTTGGAATTTCTAAAATGCAGGAATCCGCCTCTCACCGTCCGACAGTCCCATTGCGGACCTAGTCAAACCTACGATGGGCATGGAAGAAGGTACCCTTAAAGTCTGCGAGAGAGTGGGTATCAAAAAATAAATTCTTGGAACTTAGTCGCCAAAACTTTTAGCAAGCCGTTAGCAAGATGGGAATGAATGTACTGATATTTTGTCATTATTAATTCATGCACACAGAAGTCACCATAAATTATTACGATACACCAATAATATCTTGTTACAGGCTAAAACCTCGATTTAACGGATAAAATCTCTGATCCGTATATCATATTCATTCATTAATTCATTCATTTTTATTTACTATGTACTGTCAAGTACATTCCTGGCCCCGCATGGAGCATTACCAGGAGATAAACAATACAAATACGTTACAATATATATTCATAGAGAAAATTAAATAACATTAAGTTGTAGTAATGGTAAATAAAACAAAAACAAAAAAAAAAAAACAAACAAAAACAAAAAAAAATGAAATAAAATAAAAATAAATAGATAAGATTGTTGAGGGACATTGTTTTGGTTCACACATAATCAGACCATGATGATCAGTTGTATATCACATACAGTAGTATTGCTTTCAGGATGCAAACTTTGAGAGTAGTGCAAACTCTGTAGATATTATTCGATGAGGCACAATACTTACCTATAGCACGTAGCCTTATTCTTGAGCGCAATTTCACTGTAGTTCCATTAGTACAGTACATCCAAGGCACTGCGATTAGGACAATGAACGCGACGGGTGGTTGACGCATAGGAAAGCAGAGCACTTCCATCAGGACAACACTGCCGAGAGATGGTTCACAGACACCAGTTAATAATGATCAAAATATGACTGGATGAAGATTGGCACTAGTGATTGCTCCTCATTTCCAAATCACACTCCCTGTGAGTTGGAAATGTTATTCTCTAAAGATATAAAGTATATAGTTGGCTAATGCACAAGGTGAATCAATTTGAAAAACACAAATTTTCACAGAAAATGTGGTACATGTCCAGAAGCACGATCATTCAATTGAAATATTATCGTTCAGCCACATCATAGACAAGTTAATGAGATTGCGCATGTAGTTTTAGCGTTATATTATTTGATGTGTTATTTTAGAGATACTTTTAGCAAGTCTGGTGAAGGCATTATAAACTTCAAGAGATGTCCATATGTCTGATAATTGGCAGGGCCAGTTAATTCCTTGTTGATTTAGTAGTAATTTTAGCTCTAGTCGTTCACGATCAAATAGTATGCAATCATAAAAATAATGTTTGGAACCATCTGTCACAAGACAAGTAGGACATTGGTCAGAGTTTCTATCAGTGAACCTAACAAGATATGAAGCGTATTTGCCATGATTGGTGAACAGCTGCGTGGTGTAGTAGGTGGGTGAATACCACTGTATCATGAAAAATTTACGGAGGTCAGGAATGTATTCATGAGTGATATGATGATCATTGCGATCCCATTCAATTTGCCATAAATGAAGAGCATGTTCCCAAAGTATACGGCGCAAAGTACGTTGACTATATTTATTATAGGCAATAGGAGCAGTGATGTCATTAGCTGCAGATTTTGCCAAGAGATCAGCCTTTTCGTTGCCTAACGTTCCCTGATGCGCTCTGATCCATGTGATAGCAAAAGTACAGTTGGAAAACCTCATAAGATGTCTGATTTCCTCTGCAAGTGGATGTAGCTTCGAGTTGTTAATTAAATTGCAAGCGGATAAAGAGTCAGTGTGGATATGAACTGAAATATTATTATAATTACTGTTTATCCAATCGATGCTCATTTTAATAGCGAAAAGTTCCGCCTGAAACACTGTGCAGTGGTCATCAAGACGATAAGTCTGATTGTATATTTCGTGATCTTGCCTGAAGACAACAAAACTACACCCCACCGAATCGTTAATTCTTGAGCCATCAGAATATATATCCACATCAGCATAGTTATTGCTTTCAAAAGTATATCATATGTAAAAATTAACACCCTGTTAATTTTAAAATGCTTTTTATATGTAATTAAATAAACAAATTCCCCCCCCAAATTCAAGAGTCGCCGC